AATAAATCTTAAAAAAAAAAAAGAGAGATGATGATTTTGTGACAAAAGAAAGGGTTAGCCATATCCTCATTAAAAAACAAAACAAAACATATCTTCATTTTGTATCTGTGAGTGGAGAAACAGTGATTATAGTGTTACTAGTGTGTTTAAAATGTGTGTATTTGCACATGTGCGTGCGTGCGTGCGTGTGTGTGACTATAGTGAAGGGCTGATTGAGTGGAAAGAAGAGATGGGACAAAACCTTGCAGAATGGTCAATGGAATTCTCTTCTTTAGATTTCAGATTCCCTTTGCAGAGAATCAGCCATTGAATAAACCCTACAGAGAGAGCAAAAAAAGAATGGCTGGAACATATTACTGAAGTATGTTCCATGTGAAGCCAATCAGAAGATGTTCCAGAATGAAATCATCAGCCATTGATTTACAAAAGGGCTCCTGATAACAAGAATTGAAAAAAAAAATAGGAAAAAAATTGAGGCTATAAACTCACCAAATATGATGGCAGTTTGTGGGGCACAGCTATTATTTAAACCCTTAAGAAAGGAAGATTTCCATGGAGAGGGCAAGGAGAAGTGGAAGGGGAGAGGAAAGAGTGAAAAGCTCTGCTCTGAGAGGCCCATCTGATACTGGTCATTGTCTCACTGGGCAGAAATCAAGGAAGGCAGGTGAGTCAAACTGGTCAAGGGAACAATCTTCAAGGAAATGTTTCAGTGTCAATTTAGAGAGATTAAAGCAGGAAAGAGGCCATTTATGAAAACCTTTGTAGTAGTTAAGAAAGTTTGTAAATTATTATGGAACCTGGGTTCAGTTTGGCTCATATATCAATTTTGATTCTGCATAAACCCTGACTTTAGATATTATAGGCACTGGCATACTAAGAAGAGGTCAATAAAAAAAGCAACTTCCCACTTAAGTTCTGAACAAGTCAGACCAATGGAGATTTAAAAAATAGTAGCTTGATTACTGAAAACAATCACACCGGTGGGTGTGGTTTATATAAGTGTGTAGAACTGCTAACACCGTTCCCTCTATCACAGCCTTGATTCAGCTCAACTGAGGTAAGTTTATGTATACAAAATAGACACTCATATTTGTGCTTTTTGTGTCATATTAATTCAGAAATGGAAGGAAAAAAGGGCAAATTCCTAGTAGTTACTGATTTAATTTTTTTTTAAAGATAAGCTCTATTCAAATGGAACCAATGAATTCTCCCTCTAATTAGCATGGTGATAGGACAATAAGACAAAAGGTTTATTCAAGTGAAGTTTATCTATTTTAAAGACTGAAGCATTTTGCATAGTGATATGCAGAAAACTATATTATTCATATACAACAATAGGAAAAAATGAAAAAGCCTGCTTGAAGTTGGGGAAGAAGTGAACTGAGGAGCTCCTGCCTTCACAAGCATTCCAAATTTGGTTCTCCTGTAACTCCTTTGTAATATTCAGTTTTTTACTGGTGTGGCATTGAGGCAACAGACTGGTAAACTCTCATTTAAAAGATACGACCCTTGTTTCTTTAGTACACACTTTTGAGACAATTTTATTATTTTTCTTTAATTTGTTGATCAGTGTGTTGTCTTTCCAACAACAATTCTCTGACACCTGCCGATGTTCTACAATTTAATTCAATTCTGCCATTAACTACACCGTGTTAGTGCAAACCCCACAGGTTGAGTTTGGCAACCTAACACTGTCTTCACTTCAGTAACATGTCCTGTGTGTCATCAGAGGTCCTAGGTACTTCTGACCTACTAGCAAGAAATTCCAGACTTCCCCTGACTAGGTTAAAAAATTCCATAGAGTGACTCATGTACTCAGAGAAGCTCTGTAATTACGACCATAGTTTTATCATAAAGGCTGTAGTTCAGGAGTAGCCAAGTGGAAGAGATACACAGGGAAAGGTGGGTATAGAGCTTCTTTGCCCTCTCTGCTTATAATACTCCCCACCTCCTCCCTGCCACCCCCCGCCCCCCTCCCATCCCCCAATGCCACCCCCGGCAACACGGATACAGACCCCCAAAGGGGTCAGTGAAGCAAGACACCAAACTCTGCAGCCTGACAGCCCTTCAGAACCAAGTGGCCAAAGTGGGCAGGGTTGGGGGGAAAACCCATGAGCTGGGGAGAGAGAACTCAAGTCAGAGGGCCGGACTCTGAGCAAGAGCCGCAGAGCCAGAGGGGCACCGAGGGAGGAAGCGAGAAGGGAAACTAAGCCGAGAAGGGAGGAAACTGCCTGAGCCAGGACTCGCACCCTGGACGGTCAGTACGACCTCCCCGACTCACGCCCGTGGGGAAACCGAGGCTCCGAGAGGTCACGCTGGCGCAAGGTGGGGCTCACAGAGGGGTCTGCAGGGGTCCCGACCGCCAAACCCCCGCCCTCTTAGCACACCACATGAGCAAGAGGCCACCAGACGGAGGCGGAGGCGGAAGGCCGGGAGCCGGCGACCGGGTCAAGTGCCAGGGAGAAGGTGCCAGCTTCGCCTTTCAGAGTCGGGCCTGGGCGGGGGCGGGGCAGAGGCCACCAGGCTCCTCCCGCCTCCCGCCCTAGTCCACCACCAGGGTCTCTTGGCTGTAGGGGATGGACTTCTGCGTCTGCTCGCCGCCCTTCCCGGGGCTGGGGCCGGGGCCCTGGCTGTGCCCAGAGGAATAGCTGCCCGACTTGTCCCTGCTGCTGCTGGGGGAGACGCCCCCGCATCTGCTCTGGCCCCAGCAGAGCATGGAGGTGCAGGCCTGGCGGAAGCGGGGGTCGAAGAAGGCGTAGAGGAAGGGGTTGAGGCAGCTGTTGACGTAGCTGATGCAGGTGCAGTAGGGGAAGACGTTCATGAGGAAGAGGTCCAGGTCGCAGGGCCAGTGCAGCAGGCTGCCCAGCATGTACAGCGTCTTCACCAGGTGGTACGGCATCCAGCACAGGGCGAAGGTCACCACCAGCACCACGATGATGCTCAGCAGCCGGCGCCGCTTGCGCAGGCCCTCGATGCGCTCCTTGCGGAAGTGGCCGGCGATGGTCTGGGCGATAAAGAAGTAGCAGGTCAGCATGACGGTGAAGGGCACCACGAAGCCCACGGCGGTGGACGAGACGCCCAGCCCCACCTCCCAGGCCCACTCGGAGCTGGAGCTGGCCACCACGGAGTAGTCCATGTAGCACTGCACCTTGCTGCTGTTCTCCAGGTCCCCCGTGGTGCGGAACACCATGACCGGCAGCGCCAGGAGGGCGGCCAGCACCCACAGCACGGCCGTGGCCACCGCCCCGCTGACCCGCAGCCGCAGCCGGGCGTTGGCCACCGGCCTCACGATGGCCAGGTAGCGGTCGAAGCTGAGGCCGGTGAGGCAGAAGACGCTGGCGTACATGTTGACGAAGATGAGATAGCTGCTGAGCTTGCAGGCGAAGGCCCCGAAGGGCCAGTCGTAGTCCCGGTAGGTGTAGGTGGCCCAGAGCGGCAGGGTCACCACGAAGGTCAGGTCGGCCACGGCCAGGCTGGCGATGAAGATGTCCGCCGAGCGCCTCTTCTCCCGGCTGCTCCGAAACACGGTCCAGAGGACCAGCCCGTTGCCGGTGGTGCCCAGGAGGAAGACCAGCAGGTAGATGGCGGGGATCAGCGCCCCCGAGGACTTCCAGTCCGAGTACTCGCACTCAGACTGGTTGTCTGCCCCATAGTAGCTGTCGAAGTCGCCGCTCTCCTCCATGCTGGGGAGCAGAGAGAAGCCCCGGGGGGGACCAGGTCCGCGGCTGGGCTGTGTCACGAGTCAGCAAGGGCCCGGTGCGGGTGTGAGCCTCAGCGCCAGTGCCCAGCGCTGGCGTGTCCAGAGCCCTTCGCGCGGGTCCCGGGACCCTGGAGGATGCCCGCGCCTGCAGGCTTCCTGCCCTCCTCTCCTGCTGGCCCAGCCTCAGCAACACACTTCCTCGCACCCTCCAGAGTCTCTGCCTCCTCCTCACTCTTCTCCTCCTCACTCGTCACTGCCTCCTCCCACCTCCAGGCCAGCCCCTCACTTGTGACTCTTAAGATCTTTAAGTTACAACCCACTTTTTTTTTTTTTTACTTCTTGTCACTGGACAAGTGGACCAAATTGACCCCTGCGGTGCTGGGCAGAATGCTGTCGTGGCTGCAGCCTGCTCTCACCCGGCCCTGCCTCCTGTCCACTGTGCCCACCTTCACTCCCCCATCCCTTCCCTCTGGTTTCCTCTGGCCTTCAGCGCACTCCCCACTCCGGTTCTTCCCCTCCACCCTTCCCCTCTAAGAGGGGCAAATTATGCAGATTAAAATCCAGCCCAAGCTGGAGCCAAGGTGGTGGGGGCAGGGCGGGTGTGAGATTTCGCAGGATGTGGTCAGAGCATCTGGTGGCCTCCTGGCAGCAGGCAGGCCCCTCCAGCCCCTCCTGCCCCCGCACCCCCACAGGGCCCAAGCTCTAGCACCCTCCTCCTACCCTTCCCCACACGCCTCCTCTTTGGGCCCTTGGTTTTGACCCGCACTTCTGGACATGTTTGTGGCTTACAGGCACAGTGGTTCAGCAGTTGTCTAGAATTCCTCAGCTGCTGGCAGGTTATAATTGCAGGTGAACCGCAAGAGCTGAGAGCCCAGACAGGAGGCTCCCTCGCCGCCGAGTCATTAAAGCCGATGGGGAAGCTGAAGCCCGACATTTACCTAACTGTCTTGTCCAAGGTGGAGTTTCTTACAGTTTTGTTGTTTGTTATTCTTCTTTTCCCAGCTTTTGACATGCCAGGCATGTAGGAGATGATCATTTAAACAGTTTGTGAGTGACGGGGTGAAGAGTTAGGGGAGGGAGGGCCAGGAGTCCGTATACAGAGGCGTGAGTGGATGGGTCACTATGCAGTGAGAACATGGACACATCTCAGTGCTTGGCTCTCACTGCCCTTCACAGACCAGGAGGGCTCTCTAAGACCCAGCGGAGAAGGATGTCAGGAAGTTGCAGCTAGAGGAGGAGGAAAAGAAGGAGACAGCCCCTGGGATACCACAGTCCCACCGAAATGCACTTCGAAATGCACTTCGTGCAATGTGATCACCTCTCCAGAACCTCTGGGAGGCCACCGGAAGGTGGGCAGCGGTGCTTGATGAAGCAAGATCAAGAGGTGAACCCTGGCCTCATCCAAAGCAGAATTTACAGAACCGGAATCCACAGTCTCAAGGGAGGGTTGGTCAGACAATCTCCAAGGGTCTTAAAGCAGGGGCCTCAAACCCAAACACCCACAAAGACCAGGCCACGAGTGTATATGGATAAAATAGCCATTCTGAGACAATAGGGAGTAGTGGAGACTGTGGCAAACTGGAGCAAGACACACCACTCAGAGGAGGCCTCCCCTCCAGCCTCAGGGGTCGCGCAGAAATATGGAGCCCAGTGTGACCAGGCTCTCTGGTGCTTTAGCAAAATTTCAAATTCTGGATTTAATGAAAAATTTTTCATATTTGTACATTTGAAAAGTGAAATCGATTTAAAATAAACAGGTCAAGTAAAACCTGCATTTGGGCCCCCGGTGGGTGCTCTTTGGACAGCGGCCTCACAAGCCTCGCAATGAAAGAGGGAAAAACATCAAACGCAAACAACAGAGAGATGAAGTTAAGTACGGCGAAAACTTTAGGGTGCTATGGGAGGATGCAAGAAAGGAGGCTGGAGAAAAAGATAAAATCCCAGGAGTCTTGGGTGACCTTTACCTAGTGGAGAGGTATGAATGAGAAATGAGGATTAAATATTGACTACTTATTTCGTGCCAGACATTCTTTAGAGTTATCATCTATTTTAACCCTCACAACAACCTGCGATTAAAGTTAATCTCAGGTTAAAGATGAGGCAACTAGGTCTCCCTGGTGGCGCAAGGGGTTAAAGCACAGCACTAGGAAGCTATCAGCAACGACTGCAACACGAGTTTGATCCCCAGCCAGGGAGCTGACCCACATGGCACAGCAGACCTCTCCTGTCTCACCCACTGCTCCCCTCACCATGTATTTCAGTCAATCTGACTGTTCTGCTCCCCACTCTGTCTCCGGTGAATCCTCTCACCCCCTACACCTCTGGCCTATGCCTCAGTTCTTGTAAGCATAAATAAATAAATCTTTAAAAGAAATAAAATTTAAAAAATAAAGATGAGGAAGCTTAGGCGCAGAGAAGTGAGGTGATTTGGCCAAAGTCACCCAGCTGGTAACTACAGAGCCAGAATTTGAGCCAAGGGAATAAATCAAGGTCATCTTGAGCTCATGGACAAAAGCACTAAGTTCCCAAAGGAAAAAACTACACCCTCTTAAAATGGAGGGTTTTCATTGTTGAGGATTATAGATTTGTAGGATGGTGCTAAGATACCTGCAATTTCCCTTAAAATAAGCTCTCTTGTGTAAAACTAAAAATAGATTGACTAAAATATGTTAGCACTACTCCCCACTCTTGACAAGAGCCTGCAGGGTAACAGTCCATGCCACACCCTTAATTTTAGGGCCGAAACTTGACAGACCCACTGTCCTTTGACCAAAGAAGAAGCCTGGTTTCCTGAGGCCAGCTGGAGAGGCAACAGGACCCAAGCTCTGGAACCTCCCAGGCAGTCTATGCAGTGGCCATAGGTTCACCCACTAGGCCTGAGGCCTCAGGGATCTCACAGCATACCGGGTGGAGGGGCCCTCAGGGTTGTCTAACAGAGATCCCTGCAGGTGACAAAAAGGTACAGGCTTGGGCGGAAATGGCTGATTTTCAACTACATCAGACATCTCCGTGACCCCCCCAAAAGGGTTTAAGAGCTACTCAGGGGCCAGTCCGGACTATTCAGGACATGCCAAGTCTAAGCATCCCCTCCCCCTCAACAGCCAGGATCGCTCTGGTTCTTTCCCAGGCCCCTGGCCCCGCTGTAGCCTGGACACAGCGGGAAAGCAGCTACGTTGCTCCTCCCAGCTGGCCCTATCTGGATCCCAAGCCAGAGAGGAGCCCAGAGACACTGGGGAGAGGATATAGATCCATCTCTTCAATCGTCCGGCCTCCACACTCTCTGCCTCACAGCTGTACGAAGCAGTTCACCTTAGAGAGAAACCAGCTTCATGGAGGTGGGAGGGAAAGGGGCCACGGTGGGAAGGGGCTACTCACAGGGCCCAGGGGCAGAGAACCCACAAGATCTGGCCTCCCACAGACAGCCAGCCGGAACCAGATGGCTGGAGTCCCCCAGAACAGCAGCCTGAAAGGAACACAACTAGCCAGGCTCACTCCTCCCACACCCAAGGGCCCACGCACCATGGAAGATGAGTCAAGAGGACCGTGTGGCCCAGAGCTAGCAAGAGGCCTCCACCAGAGAGCACCTGTGCAGACCCCCGCTTTCCTTCTCCACACTCCTTAACTTGGAGTGTGGCTGAGTCTCAGGAACACACTCAGGAAAAGGACAGGACAGGCTGGGTCTTCACAGGCTGCTCTGTTGCGTTCACCAGGCCCCTGGCTTGCTAAATTGGTCCAAAAGAGCCACCCCGAGCCATCTGGTAAACCAGCAGCCAGAGCCGACTGTTGGCCGGTGTTCCCCATGCTGGCTGACCTGAAGAGGCCAGGCGGGTTTCCCGGGGGACTTTTCTCTCGCCAGGGTGATTTCTTCAGGGTATTATGAGGAGCCTTAGATGAACAGCTCCTGGCCCCAGACTGGCGGGGCCCTTGAAGAGAGCCTGGGCTCCTGGGAGGACCTCTGGGGTCAGCCATTCAACAGCCCCCTCCCCGCCCCTCAGATGCCCCTCCAAGCCACTCTATTCCTGGCAGGGGCTGGGCCCTGGGTAAGTAAGTGTGTTCATGCCCAGCAGGTCTGTGTGTGCCTGTGAGCCGAGGGGACCTGGTCAGCGTGAAGCCCCCTAGTGCAGGGAGGCCGGTGGGGTGGGGTGGGGTGGGGATGGGGTAAACATCCTCCCGGCCACAGGAAGGGATGGTTAGCTGACTCTCTCTGAGGACTTAGAACAAGGGAAACTCTGGAAGGACAGACCTCGCCCAGACCTTGCCCCAAGCTCCAAGCTCCGGGTGGAGGACTTCAAAGTAGAAGCAAGACTTTCCCTGCCCCCGCTGACTTCTCGCCTCCTCCTCCCACTGCTCCAGCCCCCCACTTCACAGCTCTGCTTTGAACTCCTCGGAACTCACCCAGGGCACCCGGCCCCTTCTCCCTTTTCCAAGAAGCAGCTGCAGCTGTGTCCTGAACAGCTGGTGGTGTTATCCCAGGGAGAGGGGGGTGGGGGGCAGGGGAATGGGGGAGTAAAACCCCTACTGCCAGCCCACTCTGGAATCCTTCCGCTCCCCTCTCCCCAGCGCCCCCTCCCCACCCAGCCCCCCCCTCACAAATCCCACCTTAGCAGCTTATCTGACCAAAACCAAACGGCCAGCTGCCATCTGACCATGGAAGCAGACGCCCTCAGCAGCCCCCTGCCCCCACCCCCGGCCATTTGGTGCGACCTCAAACTCTCAGGACATCCTCCAAACTCCAAGCTTCCCTGGGCTCCGGGGACCTGCAAGCCTGGCAGCTGGGCCATGTGCACCCCAATTCCATCGTGGCCAGCCACTCACTCACTCAGCAAATATTTATTGAGCCGTTACTATAGGCCAAACGCATCTGGTCATGGAGGCCTGGTGCCGAGCACACTCCAGGGGTGGGACCAAACAGGTAACCATGTGTCCACTCAAGGGACTCAGCGTGCACTGCCACCACAGAGAAGCAAAGCGGATGTGACACGGAGAATGAGTGGAGGGGGCAGGTTAGACGGGGCGGGCTGGGAGGGGGCTCTTGGGGACATTCTAGCTGCAGTGGGAATGACAAGCTTGCCGCGGTGCCCCATCAAGCCTCTCCGCCCTCTCTGAGCCTCAGTTTCTCTGTCTGTGCATGAGGGTCTTAAACCCACCACGCC